ACCAGGATCCTGGGAAGTTGGATCCTGCCTGGTATTACCAGCATCCTGCCCTTGTCTTGAGGGTGTTTCATCAGTTGGGGTTCACTGATCCATAGGAGGGAACTGTAGAAGATGATTTTGATGACCAGCTGGATAATCAGGGTGTGAGTTGGGTTTAGGGTGACTCAGAGAAGCTTCTTAGTCAATGATACACAGAGCTAAGTGTGTACTTGAGAATAAGTTGGCTTGAATTCAGGGCTTTCTGTGATCTCCAAGCACTGTGTGACTAGTGTCTCGGGAACTCCTTGTTATGAAGCTGGGGTATGGACCTGAAGCTTGGTTTGGGGAAGCAAACAAAACCAAACCAAGGCCTACCAGAGCCGCTACATATGTGTCAAAATCTTTAAAACCTGGATTACATGTAAAAAGCAATTTGTAAAAATGCTGAAGAGCAAAACAGCAAAGAAACATCTTTACTTGAGATGACAACTCGGCCTTGTCCAATGCTTCTCGATGACACACATCCTCACACCGGTCCTTCTACAGCAGACACGCACTTATGTTTAACTGAAAGGGAGGGACTGCCTTCCTTCTTGTTTCCAGCCCTGCCCCAGCAGTGCACTGTGGACAGAATTTACGTAGATTTGTCTTGTGGGACCTTTCCTTTTTTGAGATTGGGTCTCCTATATCCCAGATTGGCCTTTTATTCGTTATGAGGGTGACCCTGAACTCTTGATCCTCCAGCTTCCTTCAGCCTCCTGAGTGCTCCACCTTGCCCGGCCCTTGTGGATTGTAACTGTGTGGACGTGCTCTTTTCATCATTTGTTCCTCCCTGCTCTGGGCACTCTCACTGTTTCTTTTTTTTTCTCTCTTTTAACCTGTAAATACCCCTTTGTGCCTGTCCTTGTGCAGTTGTTCATATATCCTCTTAGGATCAGCTTTATTGGACCAGAAAGCGTATGGACATTTTTGAGACTTTGGACACTGAGCACAAAATTGTCCTCTAGAAAGATCACCCCAGCTACACACATCCCTCCGGATCCTATGTCCACCACACCATATTGCCAACACTGGCCAATGTGATAGAATGAACAATGTTGTCTTATTATTCATCATGTCTGTTCTGTTAGCGACTAGGAAGCTGGCCATTTGTCCCTCTGCTCTGTGGTCAGTTTCTGTTTCTCCTCTAATAGATGCTCCGTGTCCTCTGCGCATCTTTTTGTTTTCCTCACAGAAATCATTTATATGTGTGATTTGGCTCTGCTGTGTGAAGCAGCCCTAATGTAAAAGGAGAGCAGCCCCCATCTGCCCTTTTCGACCTGATTGCTGTTTTGATAGCTTGAGGTAGTTTGTTTTCTGTGCATGTATATAGGTTCTTTTATTTTTTTAAATATAAAAGTGAGATCATATTCAGTGTTGCATCCTGGCTTGCTTTTCCCCACAACGATGCATCTGGGGGAATGTCTTACCTAGATACAATAAATTGTTTTTTTTTTTTTTTGTTTTTTTGTGAGTTGTTGTGTAGGGTTTAAAGATGTCTCTATTGAGATAATTCACATGATGTAAGCTCACCCATTTAAAGTGTACAACTTAGTATTTTTGGTATATCCACAGAGTTGTGCAACCATTGCCACAGTGAATGATAGAAGGTTTTCATCATCCTAAGAGCAACCCAGTGTCTCTTGCCTATCATCCCCCAGTCTTCTGACCTTTCCTCCTCCAGAAGCTACTAACCTACTTTCTGTCTGCACAGACACTTTTATTCTGGATAACTCATAAACTCATAGATTGCGTCTTCTACTATGTAGCTTTTTGTGTTTGTCTTTTTGTGCTTACCGTAATTTTTCAAGGTTCACCTATATGATATCACGAATCAACACTTCTTTCCTTTTCATGACTGAATGCTATCTATATTGTATCTATAAGTCACATTTTCATTTGCCCATTTGGAGTTTTTAACCTTTTGGCAAGTGTGCAAAATGCTGCTGTGAACAATTGTGTACAAATATTTGAGTACACAATAGGTGTACACTTTGAAATAGAATTTCTGGGCCAGGTAGAATCTTTGTGTTTAATTTTTCTTGTTTTTTATTGAAGATAATATATATAATATTTTTTCTTGTAACAGGGTTTTACTGTATTGTCCTGGCTGGCCTTGGACTTGCCATGTATAACCCACTGACATTTCTCTCACAGAGAGCCTCCTGCTTTTGCCTCCTGAGTGCCGGTATTAAAGATGTGTGCCACCTTACTTGGCTCTGTGTTTAATTTTTTTTTTTTTTAGAAATTCAAAGTTATTTTCCACAGCGTGTGTGCCATTTTACATCCTACCAGGAGAACATGGGACCCCCATGTCATTGTGTTATTATTTATTCTTCTTTCTTTTTAAATTAAATCTTGCCAGGTACTGGTGGCTCATCCCTTTAGTCCCAGCACTCAGGAGGCAGAGGCAGGAGATCTCTGAGTTGGAAGCCAGCCTGGTCTACAGAATGAATTTCAGGACAGCCAGGACTACACAGGGAAACCCTCTTGAAAAACAAACAAAACAAAACAAAACAAAAAAAAAAACAAAAACAAAAAAAGAAGGCTTAGTTCTTCGAGAATGTCATACAATCTATTTTGGTCATATTTGCTCTGGTCCTCCCAGATTTTCCATCCTCCATGTTTTAATTGTGGCCATCTGAGCAATGTATGTGGCGTCTCGTTGTGATCTTGCTCTGTTTTCTGATGGTTAATGATGCAGAGTGTCTTCTCCCATGCTTACTGCCCATCTGTGTTTCTTCTCAGGGTAGGAGTATGTCTATATAGACATTTTTTTGGGGGCATACATGTATGTGGTATATATTTGTGTGCGTGTTGGATATATGTATGTGGCATATATCCATTTTCACATATGTGTTCACATGCCTGTGAAGTCCCAAGGTTGATGTCCAGTGTCTTCCTTGATTGCTCTCCACTTTATATATAGAGGAAGGGTTTCTCACTGAAGGGTCAGAGATCACGATTCATCCAGTCTAGCTGACTTTGAGGATTCCCTGTCTCTGCCTCCTGTGCCCCAGGATTACTGGTAGGTCTGCACTCCCACTGAGCTTTTAAGTGGATTCTGGGGACCTGAAATCTGGCCCTCACACTTGCACAGAAAGCCTTTTACCGGTGGAGTCATTTCCCCAGCCCCACATTCGCTGTTTTTAAATGGAGCTATTTGTTGCTTTTTATTATTGGGTTGTTTGTGTCCTTTACATATTCTATGTACAAACCCTTATCAGACACATGGTTTACAAACAAAGTTCCTAGTCTGGAGGCTGTATTTTCTCAGAGATCATGAGGATTAGTATTCATTCTTATTTAAATATTTGGTAGAATGTACAGTTGAAGCCATCTGGCCCTGAGCCTTTCTTTGTGGGTAATTTTTAAATCACTATTTGTTACATTTTTTTTTAGACTTTCTGTTTCTTTCTGAGTCAGTTTTTGTACTTTGTGGTTTCCTGTGAATCTGTCCATTTCATGTAAGTTGTTTAATTTTATTGGCATACAGTTGTATACAATATTTGCATTTTTAGGCTACCGATGTAGCTTAGTCTAACCATTTTTTTTTATAGATTAGCATTGAAGTTGTTTTTGTTTTTCACTGTTATAATCAATGTGGTGATGAACATTCTTATGAGTGCTTGGCGTAGTGTACATGTGTTAGGATATAGATTTTTTTTCCCTTGGGTGTAGCTGTTGAGTCTATTTAAACAAACACTGGCTCTTTCTGTCCTCTTGTCCCCATCTTTATTGATTTGTGTAAGCTCTATGTCTGGCAGTCCCAGTGTCCTGGAGACTGGAGGTAAAAGAATACTGTGTGGCTTGATCCTAATGAGAGTAGAAAGGCCAGGCTTGGAGACTAGATGTTTGGTGGCAACTCTGGCCATGGGCATTGGGTGTGGGTGCCCCCTCTACTCCTGCACATTCATTTTTCAGGTTCCAGACTGTATATCCTAAATTACTATGGGTTGCAGGCTTTCTGCCTCTTGAGGAGGCCTGCTTTGGTCTGATGGATGATTGGCATTGGAAGCAGGAGTGAGTCTCCCCAGAGTCTTTCCCTTTGGTGGTTCCCTTCTGAAGGACTCTAAGGGCAGCAGGGCCACAGGCTGCTCTAGCTCACTGACACCTGCAGAGCTGGGTGGCTCTGTCTGTGCATGGAGAAGCGATGAGGATGTGTGTGTTCTCCCTCCTCGCTGATACCTTTTCTCTGTCATCTGGGGGCTGTCTGCTCTAGGCACTCACTGACTTACAGATGGCAGGGTTCAGATGTGGGCAGTGGTGTTGGCTTGGTGGGTGGGGGACTACTAGGGACTCCTGTGTTCCTTTAGCAGTCTCGTCAGCTTCCTTGTTCCTTTTTCCCCCTGGAGTTTACACAGGTGATATCAAAGTAGGTTAAAGGTCTGGAACGGTGTTGTTGGAGCAGTTACAAGTAATTCATCCTTGGACCCAGAGGCTCACTTGACTTGGTTTTGAGTTTTTCTTCACCATCTCTCTCTAGGTCTCAAAGCCATGCCTCAGGGGCTGGGAACACAGGCCACATCAAACTCCAGATAGAGCAGCTGTGTGTTTATTGGCACTCTGTCAGGCCCCGAGTAGATTTTGTAGGAGGCAGAAAGGCCAGGGTGTCACAAATGGCAGAAAACTGAGTGTTGGCCATGTTTGCCCTGCTATTGGCTGGAAATATCCCAGACACCAATCATTCTGTCTTCTCAGGCATTTTGGGGGACTTAGATTTTCTCTAGGGAACTAAATAACCTCCTTCTGCACTCTCTGGGGCTGATCATCAGTGGGGCCTGCTTTATTTCTTCTTTGATTGCCTGGAGTGTTCTGGCCCTGCAGGCCTGCAAAGGCAAAAATCACATTAGATTCTCTCTTGACCCAAATGAGTCTTGTCCCTTGGGAAGGAAGGCTGGGGCTCAGGTTCCAGAGGGTTGATGAGTGGGAGGCATTCTCAGCGGCCCTTCCTACTGACCCCTCCCCCTTATGTCTTTTAGTCTGCGGAGTTCTTCGAGATGCTGGAGAAAATGCAGGTGAGTACCCCAAAAAGGTCAGCAGCCCAACCTCAGATGTGGATGCCACAGGCCTGTGGGTCTCAATACCAGGAGGTGCCTTGGAGGGAGAAGACCCTCAGTCCCAACAATTTAAGCCACTTTGCTATTGAGTTTTTGGGTAGACTCCTGCCTTGGGACATAGAGGGCCAGCCCAGTTATACCATTAACACTTGGGATGTGGGGAAGGCTCAGAAGAGATGTTGATTGTGGAATGAGTTGAGAAGAAACCCTGGAAAAGCAAGTCCCATCTAGAGGAGAGTTCAGTGGAGTCAGCGAGGCAGAGCCTCGCTGCATATCCGAGTTCAAACCCTGCATGTGCCACATAGTGCACAACCAGCTTGCTATTTCCAAGTCACCAAAAACAAATACCAGTAAAAATGATCACCGACACAGTGTTGGAGATGAAATGAGATGCCATATGTAAAAGCCTGGAGGGCACCACATGAGAGTCAATGTCTGAAGAGCATTTGAGGGTCCTTTGTGATCACAGTTCCTATCTATGGATCCCTTTCTGTGGGTCAAAGCAACTGTGGATGCAAACACTGGGGGGGTTACAGCTGTACTGAACATGTACAGATGTTATCTTTGCCGTTCCTCCCTGGACAAGGCAGCAACACTATCTACTCAATGTTTACATCACATTAGGGATTGTAAGTCACCTAGAGATGGCTTGAAGGACACAGCAGGATCTATAGAGGTTCTGTGCAGACACTATGCCATTGAACACAGGGAACTGAGTGACCGGGGGTGTACTTATCCATGTGTCCCAGAACCAGTGCCCTGCACCCCAGATAAGGGCTCACAGGTAAGAGCTGTTCTGTTGTCCACACTGATATCAGCTGAGTTCCTGGCTTGGTTGACAGGATTGTGATGGAGCAGTTGATAATGGTATACATATGTCTAGCACTTCTCTGGGATCATAGCTCAATGGGCTGTTCTAGCCTTACCAGGCTTTCAGAACTGCATATCTTACTGCTCTCCTGCTCCCACGTCCCAGGGGAGAACAAGAGTGCCCAAAAGAATGATTCGAAAAGAACAATGTACGTTTCTACTCTAGAGGTGGAAGAGTCTGCTTTACTTTCTTCTTCTTCTTCAAAAATATTTTTATTTCAGGAGGAAGGTTTGAAATAAGGGGCTGGAAGCCCTGGGAGGAGGGACTGAGAAAGGGTCCCCCATGGTCCTGTGATGCAGAGAAGAGGGCCCTGCCAGGTTTCCCTGAGGCTGGGGAAGGGAAGGGTGTGTTAAGGGAGAGTAATTGTCAGTACTTGTGCCATCACCATGGGGGTAAATTGTTCAGTTCTCCTCTGCACCCGGCAGTTTGTGGACTGCAAACTCATTTTCTCCTCATTTAGGGGAACTCATAATCTAGCTGTAGAAGCAAGCTGTGTGCTGCCGAGTAGCAGGAGACAGGGTATCATTAGCACCCGACGGCAGAGCAAAGCTGGGGATCTCCCTGCTAGCCAATGAGATCTCAGCTCCCTGGGAGGGGTTGGTGGCTCACTCTGCCTTCTCCATGGTTGCACTCTCAGCCCACTCACCCTCACCTGCAGCTGAAGTCCCTGCCTCCTCCCGCAGAACCCAGTCCTGTGGACTCTTGAACTGCTCTGTTTAGAGAAGCTGCTGGGTTTGTCTTCCCGGCTATACTGGGAACCTCTCTAGGGTGGGGGGCTTGTTTGCAGTCTCTTGTTATCTCAGAGACAGTGATGCCCAGCGTGGCTTGCCAGCTGCACCTCAGTAGAAACTGTTGGAAGCCAAGTTGTAATGCGTAAGACTTACCCTTGGCGCAATGGGCACTGGCCCTAGTGGACTCAATTTCGAGCAACTGCCTGGATGGAGTTTACATCTAGGGAGCTGACAGAGAGGGGGATGCTGTAGCCTGGCTGGATTCCACCCTCAGGCATGGTCCTTATCCCTCTTCATCTTACCATTGTGGAGACTGAATCTTAGAGCAGTTATGCTAGTTCTGAAGCACTGAGACTAGGACCCAAGACCCCCTGATTCCAGCCCAAGTCTAGGAATTTGAAGTCAAGGAGCCTTTGGGGCATGTGCTTTGGAGTCTCCCAGCCCAGATTCAGGTCTGAACCTGATGTCCTCTAGCTGAGTGCCCTTGGTTAAGTCATTTCCCTCTCTGAACTTCTGTTTCTTCTTGGGGGCAGGGATAAGGGAACATAAGGATAGTACCTACTGAAGAGGGTAATGCTTGGAGGCCGGAGGGCCTGGCTATGCATGGGGCTTCCTGGTAGGGGAGGGAGTAGAATGGCAGTGAGGCTGGGGAGTTCTGAGGACTGTTCCCAGACAGGAATGACTAATGCAGGACAAACAAAACAAACTCCTGACATCACTCCCCCACCCACCTGTTGTACCAACCTGGACAGGGTCTACAGGGCCACCCAGACAGTTTTCTGTGGGTGTGTGAGAAGCACCTGTCAGTGGGAGGGGCCTTCCCACACCCTCCTGAACAATGCTGGGGGATGACTCAGTCCAGCAGTCCGGAGAAACTGTATTAAAATCCACCTTGTTAGCAGGAGACCTGCTGTTCAGAGAGCAGGGTGTGTGGTTATACACTCAGCTTCAAATGCAGTTCCTATCACTCACTAGCTTAGTGCCCCTTCGGCACACAGCCGCCTCTGGGGCCTCAGTTTCCTCACTGATGAAAAGGTGTTTTGCCTTCAAAAGAAGCTACAGTAGCGCTCCCTCTGGAGAGCTAGGGCCTTGCTGAAGTGGTGACCAGGCAGGGGCCACTTCTGACTCCATAGCAGGGACTGCATCTCCCAGATGCCCTCCAGCTTATACTCTCACTGGTACTCAGTCTTGGGAAAGCCTTGCATTTCCTTCCCCCTTGCACAGTCTGGTTAAGTCAGAACCCAACTAAGGCTGCTCCTGGAAGTGAGTTCCCAGCAACTGCAGGCAAAAGGCCTTTAACCCAACTTGGTCATTGAATCTAGAAGATGCAGATGGTGGCTTGAGGTCTAATCCTCATTCCACAAATGCAGCTAGGGAGACTCCCTGAGTTACAAATAGGAAACACCTGGCAGAATGAGGCCCTGAAGGACCATACTTCCTGCCTGCCATCCAAACACCCTTCCTTCAGGAAAAAGGTGGCGCTAGAAGGCAGGAGGACCAATGTGCTGGCTCTGACACCTGCGAATGCGGGTGCTCATCTTTCCTACCCACGGCCCTATGGCCTTCAGGAAGGTATTTGAGCACAGAGATGACAATACTATCCACCTACACTAATTCTACCCACAGCATTCACTGTACACCGGCAGTGTTTGAAATGTACAACCCATTACCAGCTTTTAACCGCACTGCAGAGAGGAAGGCACTGTCATCATTCCCGATTTATAGGTGAGGACAGAAGTCATGCAGAGGAATCTGTCACTTGTTCCAGGTCATCAGACTAGGATGTGTTACTGCTGGGATTTGAATGCAGGTGATCTGGCTCAAGTCTACACAAACTCTTAACTGGCCACCCTGCAACCTCATCTGGGGTTGGTGTTGGGGCTGACAACTGCCAAGTGTGGGAGGTGAGAGGCTCTAGTGCCTGCCTGAGGATCCGAACCATGCACAGTGACCTCTGTTTATGTGGCTACTCTCTTCCTTGTTTCCACAGGGGATCAAGCTTGAAGAGCAGAGGCCAGGACCCCAGAAGAACAAGGTGGGATAGGCAGTTGAGGTAGAATGGCCAGGTGGACCTCATGAGGGGCCAGTGTAGGAAGAGGGCAGGAGGATCTGTGTGTGTATTGAACTCATCCTGTGTGCCCATCATCTCTGCTTTTCACCAGGAGCCAATTAAGGACTGCACTCCCCTTAGCCTCATGTCTGGTGGGCGGCAAAGGGGCCCTGGCTTAGTGTCTTAAGGTTGCTTCCAAGCAGGTTAGATGGAGACTTTCAAGTGAGACCCAAGGATTGGAGGCCTGGATTGACTCCTTCCAATTCTCTCTGTGCACTTAAAAATGTTGAGTGTTGTTGGAGTCCAGACTCTGATGGGCCACCAGATCTTAGCTTCAGGTTCTGTTTCTAAGGCCCGGTCACTTGAAGAGGATGAGGGGAGGGACAGGGACAGACTAGAATTCTTTTTTTTTTCCTTTTAATCCTAGTTGGCCTCAAACTTGTTATGTAGCCAAGGATGACCTCAGTCTCTTGATCCTCCTGCCTTTACCTCCAGAGTGCTGGGATTGTAGGTGTGTGTCATCTTGCCCAGCTGCTCAGCTCTCTTTCTGACTTAGACTCCTAGGATGACATGATAGCGTCATTGGGGGTGATCAGGGTATCCCTTTTGTGTGCTGTGTCTTTGTTTGGTGGGTTTGCATTCAGGTCTATTGATTGGGAGGAGAGTTCAATGACATGGGATGCTGACTCCTTGGGGTTGCTTCTAGAAGACTCTCAGATTCTGCTTCATTAAAGCCCTGAAGCATCCCCCTGACACATCCCTTCACTAGACCTAGGTGACGAACATGGAAACAGTAGTTAGACTGTTATGGCTACTTGTGGAACTAATGGCAATGTCCTGTGCTTTGTCTTGCAGGATGACTATATCCCCTACCCCAGCATCGAAGAGGTAGGAGCTCCTGACTGCATTACAGCCTGCTGTGGGGTTCCTTCCTGAGATCATGGCCCTTCCAAGCCCCACATGGGGGAGAATCTTGGATTTAAGACTTTGGGGCCTAATGCACCTTCCTATCTTTTCGTCTGTGACCAAAGCTTTTTTACAGGTTTAACTTGGGGGTTCACAGATAGTCCTTGTAAAACCCAGTGAAGCTGCTCTCTTTGGAACAGTTCAGAGGTGGGTGGGGTCCCTCTCCACTTCAGCCCAGGGTTGGCTTCAGGGCAAGGACTTCCCTTTGTTCCCAGGTTGTGGAGAAGGGAGGCCCATATCCTCTGATCATCCTTCCCCAGTTTGGGGGCTACTGGATTGAGGACCCAGAGAACGTGGGCACTCCGACATCACTGGGCAGCAGCGTTTATGAGGAGGAGGAAGAGGACAGCCTGAGCCCCAACACGTTTGGCTACAAGCTTGAGTGCAGGGGTGAAGCCAGGGCCTACCGCAGGCACTTCCTAGGCAAGGTGAGCACAGGGACCCTCCCAGAGTGGACCCGGCTTTGGGGAGGGTGGCATGGATCTCTGTTCCAGGACTCCTCTGACTTCTCTGCCTCTTCTCTTCCTTGCTTCTGTACTGCTCACTGTCCACCTCCATCTTACTGAGAGTCTTAGGAGTGGCATGGAGTCCCTTTGAGGGGTCCTTTTGGGGACCACCTCCAGCATGTGTTTTATGAGGTGATGAAATGGGTAGTGTTGGGGGTTCAGGAGGATGTGATAGAGTCTTACCTGCTCAAGTTATACTGTTCAAGTTTAACTGCTCAAAAAATGTTCTCCCTGCATGGATGACTGTTTACATTTGCACAGTGCATGTCTCTTAGCAGGATGGTCCCCTGAGTACTGAGATTGGTTGTTGTCCACGAGAATGATTTTTAACAGTGGCAAAGTTACATCTCCTCAAACATGTTCTTGTCTTGATATATTCCTTAGAGTCCCAAGGGCAGCTCAGGAAGTCTCCAGTCTAAGGTTGCTTTGCAGTCTTACCTTAAGGAAGCTGTACAGCTGGATCTTAGGGAGCATTGTTTAAGTGCAGTTTCCATGGGCTCATTGTTAACTGGGTGGGCCTGGGAGGTAGGCTCCAGGAAGTCAAAGAGCCCCACCTTGTGAAGAGGGGCTTTCATTCTGCTTGGGTTCTTCCTAGCCTTCTCCCACAGTTTGGATTGGTTAGGGCTGCCCTCTGAGTAAGAAAGTGAACTCAGCATCAGTTGGTGAAGGACCTGAACTTGAGAGGCTATTAAGATATGGAGTTGAGCCTGGCTCTGTCAGGAACTGGTAGTGTGGTTGGAATGGGGAGGGTGACATCGTCTCCTACACAAAGCTGTGGTCAGGATTCAAGAGGATAATGGGTGCTAAGGCTGTGGGTTGGTGCCTGGCACATCCTGAGGACTTGGTGGTTGGCACCTATTAATATGGTCCTTATCATCACCATTATCACCACTATCACCATCCTCATCCTCATCTTCATCACCACTGTTGCTGTAGCAGCATCCTTCTCTCCCTTCTTTTTGTGGGGCTTCTCTCTCTTGTGAAGGAGGTGATATGGGGGCCATGTCTGGGTGAAGGAGGTGATATGGGGGCTATGTCTGGGTGAAGGAGGTGATATGAGGGCCATGTCTGGAGGCTCATATCCTTTTTCTATTTCTAGGATCATCTAAACTTTTACTGTACTGGCAGCAGCCTGGGGAACTTGATCCTGTCCATCAAATGTGAGGAAGCTGAGGGCATTGAGTACCTTCGGATCATACTCAGGTGGGGCTGGGACACTGGTGGAGACCACGCCTCTCTCAGGCAGAGCTGGCATTAAGGAAAATGGGGAGAGGACAGAAATACCAGACTGACCGGTCTGATCTGGTTGTCCAGGAGCGGTAGAGCTGCTGGAATCCTGGGGTTATATATGATGTTGCCAGGCAGCATGAACATGTGTTCCTGCCAGCTGTCTGAGCCTCAAGGTCACCTAGGCCAAAACTTCTGGAACTTTCCTGTGTTTCTTAGGAGGGACTGTGACTTTGAGGAGAGGGAGGAAGGAGTAGGGATGGCTCAGTGTGGCTCATCAAGGTGGGACCCAGCCCTATGATCTGGAAGAGAGTTGGCCAGGTTGCTACCTATGTTAGCCACCCAGTTGGGGAAGGTTGTATGTGTGTGCTGGGATCCTTGAGCTGGAATGATGTCCCCAGCGAGAACACTGATGTCAGGGTCCCTCTCTGAATTGTGACCTCCTCAAGCAGGGGAACTAGAACTGGTTCAACTAATATGGTTTGCTAAGCATCCTTGAACCAGAAACCATGATGGGTGCCAGGGACAGTGGTGGCCGAGACTGGTCCCTGTTTCCCAAAGGCTTACAGACTCACAAGAGAGAAACGGAATTTTAATAAATGTCACAAGTGTTTTATAGTCATTTGCATAGGATGCATATATACATACATGTAACTTTTAAAAACGTTGTAACCTATGAGACAGTTAGGACCAAAATGTAGGTGACATTGAGTTGAAGCTTTATTCTCCCTCCATAGAGAGTGACGGAGTAGAATACATGCAATTGGAGATTCAGAGTCAGGCCTGGTGGCTCGTACCTGTAATCGAAGCACTTCATAGCCAAGGGTTTGAAACTGGTCTGGGCTACTTCATGAGTCCAGATAAGAGAGTCTGGGAGAATCTGGTGCTCTTTAGGGATGAATATCCAGATACCTTTCTCCATAGAATTATTTTTGTCCTACGGTTACAGCATTTGAAACCAGTACCCCCAGGAACTGAGGAAACAAATGTGGCTCTCCCACAGAAAGCCAGCAGGTAGGGTGACACTGAGAAGCTGTACACCAGCCGGGAAACTGGACAGTCCCAGCATGGTCCTGCACTAATTGCCAGACCAGTTGGAAACGAGGCAGGAAAAACTGGCTCCATGGCTTAGCAGCTTCATCGGACACAAAGATGGACTTGAGCAGGGATGAAATTCCCTTGCTGGCAGTGACTTCTGTCCCAGTGTTAGATCACTGGATTATTTACTTTGGTGTCCCAAATTTATAGTAACCAGCTCTCTAGCTTAAAATGTGAGCTGAACATGCCAACGGCCTCAGTGTGCCGTAGGGATCCCCGCCGGTCACAGACATCACTTCTTGTGTTTAAGGCCACCATATTTATTTACTGTGAACTCTGTTCATAAGCATTGTTCATTTTTAAATTAGATTGTTACCTGACATTTCTATTTTTAAAGTCCTATAAGTAGTTCTGACAGCAGGTATATCGAGCAGCTTTTGAAGCAGGGAGTGAGTGAGTCTAAATGGGTTTCAAAAACTCAGGCACTCTGCTGGAGACATTCACTTAAATTTTGACAATCAACTAGAAATTCACAACAAAGTACTGCTTTTTATAATTCACTTAATCATTTAGAAACAATCACAGTAATTTTCTAAGTAATTTTTATGCCAGAGAGGAAGTCAAAGCCACAAAGTCATGGGATATCTATAAATGACGTTTAGGGGTTGAGATACCTTAGTGATTAAGAGAGCCCTGGCTGTTCTTCCAGAGGACCCAGATTCGGTTCTCAGCACCCATATAGTGGCTCACAACTGTCTATAACTCCAGTTCCAGGGCTTCCAAAGCCTCTGTGGACATGCACATGGTACACAGTCAGATATACAAGCAAGCAAAACACCCAAACACATTAAAAGAAAAGTAATACAATTTGTAATATTGTAATATAAGTTATATTCAGTGCCCTCATTAGAAGAAAATATATTGCTTTACCCAGCCTATAAACATGATATTTGCAAGTTGCTTTTGCTATTAGTGTCCTGTCCTTTCTTTAGTTCCTTCATGCGTGAGGAAATTATTAAATCATTGAATACTTATGTGCCCTAGTGAGTCTGGGCTCCCACATATGATAGCTTTTCGATAATGACAGCTGGCCTCATTATTATCAACACTGTTATCTAAAGAAAGCAAGAGGAAGGGATGAACAAAGATTAATGTGGAAGGAAAGAATTAAGAGGAAAGGAGCGTTAAGACTTGATTATCAAATTGCGGCCTCTACCAGGGAAAACAAAACAACATCGATGCCTGTTTAGTCAAATATAGAGACAAAGAAGCCAGGCATGGTAATACATACCTGTTATCGCAGCATTTGGGAGGTTGAGTCAGAAAAACGGGAGTTCAAAGTTCTTCTTGTCTATAGAGTTGGAGACCAGCCTGGGTTACATGAGACTGTATCTTACTCTCTCCATACAGATATGCAAAACATACATGTAGAGATAAAGAATATTCAAAATATTTCAATGTAGATAATATGTGCAAAAATATATAGACTGATAAAAAGAAACAAAGTTTGGTATAAAAGATACATTGTTGGAGCTGGGAAGAGGCACTGGATGCTCTTCCAGAAGATTTGGGATTTTCAGCACCCATGTGGCAGCCTGCAACCAGCTGTGACTCCAGCCTCTTGGGATCCAAGACCCTCTTCTGTCTCCATAGGCAGGTCATACATATAGTCCACATACACACATGCAGACAAACCGCAGACACGTAAAATAAAAATAAAACTTAAAAATGATGCATAGTTACAGATAAGGAGATTGAGTAATTATTAAGGAATGTTGTATCTAACATAAGCCATTCAACTGAAAATGCCATTAGAAACGGGCGGTTTGGGGTGGGAGAGCAATGAAAGAGATATCTTGATAGAGGAGGCCATTATGGGGTTAGGGAGAAAACCTGGTGCTAGAGAAATTATTAGAAATCCACAAAAACTCTTAGCAATAGTGGAGAGGGTGCCTGAAGTAGCCTTCTCTTGTAATCAGACTGGTGGCTATCCTAATTGTCATCATAGAACTTTCATCCGTTACTGATTGAATCAGATGCGGAGATCCACATTCAAGCACTGTGCTGAGCTCCTGAAGTTCAGTCGAAGAGAAGGAGGAGGGATTATATGAGCAAGGGGGGTGGTCAAGATGATGATGGGGAACTCACAGAGACAGCTCACCCAAGCTAGTGGGAGCTCACGGACTCCAGACTGACAGCTGGGGAGCCTGCATGGGACTGAACTAGGCCTTCTGCGTTTGTGTGACAGTTGTGTGGCTTGGTCTGTTTGTGGGACCCCTGGTAGTGGGACCAGGATCTATCCCTGGTTCATGAACTGGCTTTTTGGAGCACATTCCGTATGGTGGGATGCTTTGCTCAGCCTCAATGCAGGGAGGAGGGGCTTGGTCCTGCCTCAACTGAATGGCCAGGCTTTGTTGACTCCTCATGGTAGACCTTACCCTTTCTGGGGAGTAGATGGTGGGTGGGTTGGGGTAAGTGGGGGGCAGGGAAGAATACATTACTTTCCAGGGAAGAATACATTACCAAGTTTAACTCAAGATGAGAGTAAAAACCCAAATGCATCAGCAACTGTGGAATAAATTAGAAAAGTTCTCAGAGAACTCTCTCTCCAAATGTTTCGGGCTCTAGAAGATCTTACAGGTAGATATTTTAAGCTTTAAAGGAACAGATTTGCATTACTTAAACTGTTCAAGAAAGAAGAAAAATATGGAAGCCTTCTCAGTTAAGTTTGCTTAGAAGATCCTTAAAAAAAAAAAAAACCCAACCCAGACAAATGAAATACCAATTCATAAAAAAGAAAAAGAAAAAATAGGGTCCAATATTTATAAATTCAGAAGAATGTTTTAAGCAAAGAATCAGCCAGAGAAACTCAAATCCATGCAGAATATAAAGTATACTTATGATAGTCAAGAAATAATTATTTATCAATGTAAAGAATAGTTATTGTGAGAAATGCATTATTCATTTAATGTTTGTTTAATCGGCACTCAGTATGAGCCGGAGTGCTGGGGATTAGCCCCATGGCTGCACACGTTGGGCAAGTGCTCTTCAGCTTCAGTGCCTGCTCTCAGTATTCTTGTTCCCCTCAGCCCTCCTTATCTCCTGCCTATGGACAGGATCTTCATAGGCTGCTCAGGGTGGTGCAAAAGCTAGCTACCAATAATGGTTCCAAGCCAGTGAGATGTGTGTCTGAGTGGTATAGGATCAAAAGATTGTTCTAGAGAGCCAGAGGAAAGTGAGACCAAGCATAATGTTTGGAAGTTTGGATTTTTCCCCAAATCTCCAGAGGAATGGGGGTGCTACAGAAGGGAGTATGCCATGGTCAGGTATGTAGAATGAATGGACTGGCTAGAATGAGGAGAACAGCTTGTAGCAAAGGCAAGGCCACAGCAGCAGGGTGGGTGAGGAGGCTGCTGAGCTGAGCCCAGCCAGGTGAGCACAGGTGATGATCCAGGTCAACTGATTATATAATGTGGCTGGCTCCCCCAGACTGTTTGGACTGGCAGCCATGATGGGAATTAAACCAAGATGGCTAGTACTGAGAATAGACAAAAGTAGGTGGAAAGTTCCAAACACATGGGAAAAACTGACATTAAGAGACTGCCAGAATGTCAGCAAATAGGAGAGGGATTTGCTGCTGCTGAAATGCAAATAATGGTGTGCTTTCAGAATGACTTGGGCACGTTTATTAAGACCTAAAGAAAGATGGAGAGTGAAGAGCATCTCTCAAGTGGGTCGTAAATCGCTGTTCAGAGAATCGAATCAGGAGCATGTGGGTATCTAAAGAGAACAATTAGGATTATTAGAATGAAAAATAGTTGTTAATAGTTGAAAAACTTAACACACAGGATAAAATCTAGTCTTTTCGAAGAGTGAACTGGGAGATAGTCCCAAGGAATCCATTCAGAACATGGTAGATAAAAAAGATTGAGAGTAAGAAAAAGAAGATAAGATATGTGGACAACAGCCTGGGAGGCCTCTACATTTGCCTCAGGAGTTCCTGAGGAATGAATAGGGACACTAGTGAATTACCGGAAGTAAGAGCTGAGAGTATGTGAAAGTTGGAGAAAGCTCACAAACATACTGTGGATCATAATTTCAAAACAAAACACAGGCAGACATGTTTAAGCGGAAAACAACAGAAATCAAAGCTTGAGGTAATGCCATCCGAGGCTAAAGACAGTCTTGGAGGCGGTGACAGAAGGGGAGCAGAGTTCCCTTTGGTCGCCATAGCTGTTGAACACTGGGATACTATCTTTAAAGTGCTGTAAAAGTGAACAAGAAGAACTGTCTTAACCACAGTTCTATAGCCAGAGAAGCTACCACTAAAGACAAAATTAAATTGTTTTCAAACATTAAAAAACAAATTAGAGCAGTGTGCTTCTCCGAATGTCCCTGGAAGATACTGACGGATGCACTGTAGCCAGAAGAAAAGAGAACCCAGCAGAAGAGATGCAATTAAAAAGTAACAAGAAATAGGTAAATAGTATTGACAAGTTTAAATACTGACTGGGAAAAAGAGGTGATTTTTGGCACATTTAAAAAGAAGGTTGAATTTGTATTTACTTATGACAAAAATAACAAGGTTGACAGGAGGGCAGAAGTCAGTGGATGAAGCATGCAACAGAGTTCCAGAGGTTGCTGGGAAAGCTGTAAACATGTATATTGGGAGATTCAGGATACAGAAGGATGGAATAATAAAACAAACCAAGCAAACAAAAACACAAACACCCAGAACTTCATTCAATGGAATGCTGGAGAGGAAGAAAAAAAGAAAATAACCTACAGAAAATAGAAAACAGACTTGAAGTGATTCCAAACATGTTAGTGGTTACAATAAATATAATAGATTAAGCTATCTGCTAAAATACTAGAAAATCAGAGTTGATTAAGAGCGCATCTTCATTTTGCTATAGTAGACATTACTAAGAAAATAATATGGCATGGAAAGGTTTAGAATGAGGGAAGGGGAAAAGACACACCAGGGAAATAATAACTAGGAAAGCTGGCATAACAGTATTAAAAACATACAGTGTAGCGTCCCATTGAAAAAAGCATCAGGCTTAAAGAAGCATGCCTTTGTCACCTAGAATGGAATACTGCTTCATAGCACCCTTGGTTCTCTTCCCTGTTACTGATAGCTGTGTTCTGGAGTAAGAGCTTGATGTGTGGCTATGTTTCTTCTCCCCTTTCCTCTTGGGAGTTTTCTCCCAGGCAGTCCCTACAGGAGGGCTCTTGTACCTGCCTCACAGTACCTGAGATGTAGGTGATTTCTGAAGTTTGTCTAAATTTGTCGTATGGTCACACGGAGCTGTGTGTTCTCACTTGGTCTTTGCCGGTAACAAAGGAATGATTTCAGCTCCTCAACTGCCTTATTTGCCCTTGCTACTTTGATTTGAGTTTCTTCATGATAGAGAAGATAAAGAACCCACTTGGCAGCTCACAATTGTTTGTTGCTGGGATTCAAGGGGGATCTGACACCTTCTTCTGGACTCTGTGGGCACCAGGCATGCATGTGGTATACAGACATACAGACAGACTGAATATCCATATGCAAAAAAAATATTAGAAAAAAAAGGTAAAGAGGACTGGCCACTGAGGACATGGTTATGGACATGTACTGGTAAGGTAGTCTTGGGTTTAAAAAGCAAGAACGGGGGCTGCGAATGCAGCTTCGTGGGAGAGCCCTTGCCTAGCATGTGCAAAGCCATAGGTTCAGACCCCTGCAAGGAAACAAAACAACAACAAACACCACAAATCAAGAACTTAGGAAGTTTTAGGGAGGAGTTGATAAAAACTTCAGTTTCGTGGGAGATTCTGATTAAAAAAAAAAAACTATCAGAAAACAATGGCTAGTAATTGTGAAGCCTGTAAAATATTTGAACAGTACAGTAAACAGTAAATATCCTTACTCTCAACAAAAGAGAAAAAAACACACCCTTTTGGAGCCCATATGGATTGTGAAAAGGAGACTAAAAGGGTCTGTGTGTTGTTAGGGCATTTAAAATAATACCATATAGACGACTCCCTGACTATGACAATTAAGTTATAAATCCACAATAAAATACTTGAGGGGAAAATAATCTTGTATTTGGAAAGTTTTTTCCCCCTTAAAGCCCCTTTAAATAACTCGTGGGTGGAAAAGGAAATCACAAAAGAACTGACAAAATATTTTGAACAAGATGGCAATAAAAACACTACCTATCAAAGTGCGTGGGATGCGGTTAAAATGGCACTTACACACAGATGCATAGTTGCAGATGTGTCTGTGAAGAAGAAAGGCTAAATGTATAAACATGCGGGCAGAGAAGCCAGGAAAGAATGGTAGAAGAGAGAAAGAAGGAGATGAAGAGGATGAGGACAAGCAAGCGGAGTAGAAGCTTATAAGAAAAGGAGAAAACCTCAGCTAAGGACACAATGCAGGAAGGATGCAGGCAGCCCATGCGTTGCGGCTGAGTTGGGAGAGCACTTGCTTAACCCATGTGAGAGCCTGGGTCTAGCCTCAGCACTGCAGAGTGAACCAGAAAACTGGCCTATGAATGGGCCAAGGTTAATGTACATTGGAGGGACACAGCTGCTAATGACAAAGCCTGAGGCCACAAAAACAACTTCAGAGCAATGCATGTCGTGGGCACTTGGGTGGAAAAATTTTAGTCATTCAAATAGACTTGTAGAAAACTTATATGTTTACCACTAAAGAACTGTAAGGGAGCCTCTTATAAAGGATAGCTGGCCCAGAGATGTCACACATATACTATAGCAAACCTTTAGTGAATCAAAAAAGGAAAAAAAAATCCTGTATCACACACATCATTTCAGAAGACAGGAAATATCCTGTGATTTTTGCTTGGTTGGAATAATACTTACCATGTTGTGGAAATTTGGCAAGGGAGGTACATGAAGAAAGAAACAAAAGGGCCAGCATTGTTTTGGAGCAGAGATGTGATGATCTAAATAAACAACCAATTAAATTCAGCAGAATATTAAAAAAACCATACATCACAAACACTTGGAGATTCACCCATGGAATGAAAAGATGGCTTAACAGAGTTACAACCCACCAGGTTAACGGATTAAAAATCCTATGATGATCTAAGCAGACATGCAAAGTGTTCCGTGAAACTCAGCGCTTTGGTAATGTGCTAAGTGAATCAGGGAACATGCTAAATTTAGAGTCTTATGTTGAATTCCTTTCCCAAGCAGATTCCATCCCACTTATATTTTGAGTAAATCCAGATTTTCAAATATTAGATTATCTTTCATAAAGGTTCATTTGCATGTCAAAATCTAAATATATCCATAAGCTCGGCCCAGTTCTTTGGGAGAATAAAAAACAAAACAAAGCAAAACAAAAAGAAAAAAAAAAAGGTGGCCTTGAAAGCAGCTAATTGCATTAGCTGTTTTTCTAGGTGTGATCTTTAAGTATCTACCATCCTTGGGGAACACAGGAAGGAGTCCGTTTTCTCACCTTTAGTGTGGTGTTCGAATCCCCAAGGCTGTCTGGGGAGGCAGCTCTGTTTCCAGGGAGATGAAGCAAACCAAGGACCCCACCTGGTGTGGCCTCAGCCACTTTATCCACAGACTGTCTTTCATGGGTGCCCTCATCTTATCCTTATCTGTGTACAGGTCCAAACTGAAGACAGTGCATGAGCGGATTCCCTTGGCTGGATTGAGCAAGTTGCCCAGTGTCCCTCAGATTGCCAAGGTAAAAAATAAAAATTAAGGGAAGGTGGCCTTTTCTGTTAGCCCAGGGATGGTTCTGGGGTGGGGATGCATGCTTTGCCTTTGGGAACTGGGAGGTGATTTTGCTCTTTGCCTAGATGGAGTGAGGTGGTTTTAGCAGCTGCCTCCTCCATCTTCCCTCCCTCTTTCCCTCCAACCTATCCTTGCACCTGAAGCTGCTTTCAGAATAGTCTACTCCACTCAGGAGACAGGAGAAATAGGAAGGCGGGACTGGCCATGGCTAGTACTTCAGAGGAGGGCCTTGGTAGCCAAGGGAGCTTTCACTGAGGGGTGGGTACTGGGCTGAGGGAGATCCAGATCCAGTCCCCCGCCCTGAAGAAGGGACCGTTAGGAGGATCATGTCACTGAACGAGTGACTGGAGTCAGCACAGTGGAGTCAGAAGGGAGGGTGGCTGGGCCGAGTGGGACACTCACTCTAAATATGTATAATATATTCACTCTGAATACAGGAATGCCAGCAAAATTGTGCACTTTGTGGGAGTTGGGGAGTGATGGCTTTTTGGTATTGTCTTACAGTCAGAATGAAAATGTTTTCCAGACTTCATTTTTTTGCCTCCCTTTACTTTATCACGAAACCTCAGGACCCCAGACTGTCCTGGGTCCACATTAGTGAGCAGCAGAATTTGAACCCTGTGTGCCTCGTCCTCCCACGATGCTTTCTGTCTGTGGGCAGAGGAGCTGTGTGTACTTTACAGATAGACATGGTTCCTGACCTGTGTGTTTCTTTCCCTGTCCAGGCTTTCTGTGATGACGCAGTGGGGCTGAAATTCAATCCTGTCCTGTACCCCAAGGTGAGGACCTTTGCGTCCCTGTGGGCCTGTTGTCCACAGCTCTTCAGCTTGGCAACAGGAGCTCCATGGAGGAGTTCCTTGAATCATGGAGGGGTCATGTGTGGTCTCTATGGTGATCTTCTCTATCTTTTCTTATTTACCCCTCCACAAACTGGTACCCTGGGAACCATCCCCAGTTATGCCTGGGCTTCCAGCCCAGCTGAGTAGGTCCCTGGCCTGCTTTGAAGGTAGGTGGGGGAGGGTAGCAGCTTTGAAGTGTTTCTACCTCTCCCCAGCTCTACTTCTCTAATACGACCAGGGTTGGGGTTGTGCAGATTCTCTTTATACCTTGAAAGCCAGTCAGATCCACCCTGACATCATGAAGGTATGGGGTGCAGAACTCAGAAGTACCCTAGGAAGTAAGAGGCCGAACCTTGTTACTGCAGCTCTGAGGTCCTCTAAGCCTTGCTGGCCTTACTTAATAAACTGGTGGTTTTCTGATATTGGCTTTCTTATGACTGGCCTGATATTGACCCCAGTTCTGGTATGGGGATGTGCATGGGGAGAAGCGATAGTAACAAAACAAACCAACAAATGCAGTCAACAGCAATTACAGCATGACAGTGCTTAAATCACCCACAGTGGAGAATTGCTTGAAATTGCCCATAGGAAAAGACACCCCCCCCCCAGTGTACCTATTGCTGCTTTATAAGCCAGCGGAGGCTCTGGGAGGAAATGGAAGCAGAGATGTGCTTCCCATATGGCTTCTGCTGTGGGCAAGGCAGCCGCAGCCAAAGCTTGCAGGGTCATCTCTGCCCATCCCCCAAGTCCCAGTCCTGACAACCAGGAACCGTGAGATGAAATTTCTGGCTGGGGAAGCAAGACCTTCACCCTGCTCCGACATTCAGAACATCCCCGACCACATCGTAAATGGCTTCTACTAGGCTCAGCACTCTTAGAATCATATGGAATCCTCAGCTGCATAGGACACTTCCCACAGGTGCCTTTGGGTCATCATTTTGTCATCTGTAGACACCAGCAATATGCTGCACTCCAGAGAATGTTTTCTGTCATTCAGGCTGACCTACCTTTGTAATCAAAGCGGAACTAGTGGGGTTTAATAGCCAGCCCAACCCCATCAGAAAGGCCTCGCTGAGCTCAGGTGTGGCAGTTCTTGTCATAGTCATAATCAGGAGGCTCCAGGATGTGCATTCATAGGTCTGCTTTGGGAAGCCTGAGGGGCCTGTTGGTAACGGAAGAGCAGCTGTACTTCATGTGATCTGTGTGAAGGCCGGCTGATGTCCAGCTGAGACGTGTGTATTTTTCACATGTGCAGAGTTACACATTCTGTGGAAGGTCTCCATGGCCAGCCTTTCCCCTGCAGGGCAGCTGCTCACACCTTTGACTCACCCAGGCAGCCATGGAGGACAGATTTTAGGGTGGCTAGCAGGGTTCTCACTGGGAGAACCGAGGAGCACCCCTTTCCTCAGACAGCCGAGGCCTTCGCAGAGGTAAAGCATAATGGCAGCCTGTCTTGGGCTGCATTTTTCAGCCAAGTCAAGCCAGGTTTCTTCCTGTAGCACAGCACATGGCCAATCCCTCTTTTGTGTTGTAGATGTTTCCCAATAGCACTCTTTTTCCTCAGTCCTCTTTCTCATAAACTG